GCAGGACTCGCTGTCCGCGCCGCCGCGGCCTGTGTCCATTTGAGACAGAAGGCCGCCTGCCCAACAGCGGCCGCTGTTGGTTTGGGACAACATTTCTTGTTGGGCATTGTACCCATTTTTTCCGTACCCATTTCGGGCGTCCAAAACAACAGGTTTTCCACGCCAGGGGCTTGGTATCGCTCGGACGTGTGCACTTTTTCTCGGCGGGGATTATCAAGGAGCATCCTGGACCATCCTGCGAAGAAGCCGCGCGCGAAACCGAAAAAAACACAGTGAATGGACGTCCGAGCGATGACCAGGGGAGGAGGAGCAGGAGGAGGAGGAGGAGGGCAGGAGGAGGAAGAGGAGGCGGAGGGAGGAGGGAGGAGGGAGCGGGGAGGAGGCAGGGAGGGAGGCGGAGGAGGGAGAGGGAGGAAGGGAGGAGGGAGATGGAGGAGGGAAGGAGGAGGAAGGAGGAGGGAGGGGGGAGGAGGGAGAGAGGGAGGAGGGATGAGATAGGAGGGAGCAGGGAGGAGGGAGGAGGGAGGCAGAGGGAGGCGGGTAGGAGGGAGAGGAGGGAGGAGGGAGGAGGGGAGTCGAAGGGGGAGGAGAGGAGGAGGGAGGAGAGGAGGCAGAGGAGCAGTAGCAGGGAGCAGGGAGGAGGGAGGAGGAGGAGGGAGGCGGGGGAAGGGAGAAAGGGAGGAGGGAGGAGGGAGGAGGGAGGAGGGAGGATGGGAGGAGGAGGGCAGGTGAGGGAGGGAGCGGCGGGAGGGAGGGAGGGAGGAGAGGGAGAGAGGGGTACCAAAGGGTTCAGGGGCTGGAGGTGGATGGAAGAGAGACGTCGACGGCGACGACGACGAGGAGGAGGACGAGGACAAGGACGTGGAGGAGGACGAGGACGAGGACGAGGACGAGGACGAGGACGAGGAGGAGGAGGAGGAGGAGGAATGAATGAATGAATGAATGCCCTTCCTGGTCCCATATGTCTCTGCTCTGCTGCTAAGTGTGCTCTACAGCGTGCGCTAGTGCATCGATCGGACGAAGACGTGCTGCAAAATCGGCTGGAGTTCGGCCTACTCGACAAAAAACCTGCCAGGCCAACGAACCCACCGACCCGACACTCCGAACCTCCAAAAGGGCCTATGGAGCCTAGGAGGTCAGAGCAGGGCAGGGACACCGCCTCGTGACCCAGCCTGCTCGGGCCCGAAACTGGGGGCACCCACACTCGAGGCATCCGACAGTGGGCAGGAAGAGCCCGCCCCAGACTCGGACGCCGCGGCGGAGTTGCCATCAGCCTCGACGACGAATTATATCTCGACGAGCGCTCTGTGCTCGAGCGTGCCGATCGAGATACACTACTTCACGCATCAGAGGAGGAGGAGGAGGAGGAGAAGAGGAAACAGCAGCGGCAAAATGGGCGGCCTCAGATCCCTCTCTCTGACGTCGCTCAGCTGCTCGTAGTAGCTGTCGAAGCTCAGTAGAACTATTTCCACCAGCAGTCGCAGAAAACGAAATCCCTGCAGAAGTATTCCCACCAGCAGTCGAAGACGAGCCAGCAGTATTTCTTTCCGCAGTCGAAGAAAAGAAAGAGCCAGCAAAAGTATTTCTTCTCGCAGTCGAAGAAAGAGAGCCAGCAGGATTATATCTTTCTGCTGTCGACGAGGAGCTCGATCCGTTTACCGATACCTCTCCTCGTGCGTCCGACTCTCGCCCAGCTCCTCTAGTACCTGCTGCACTCTGCGCGCTATGTCTGACGATGGTGCCATCCCGTACTTGAATATGCCGCCCTGGCTGCTCAACACTGTTTTGGCATGCTCCCACGCCGGCCATGCCACGGCCGCTCTGTTCACTTTGATCTCTATCTTCGCGTAGTCCCGTGCGTACGTTTTCTTCACACGGCAGTAAGGGATGTCCTTCTGCAGGGCGTGATGAAGGGCCTGCATGCCCTTGGACTCCTTGATCTGCGTGTAGTTGGAGGTGTAGCGCTCGAAGTCCGTCTTGGCCTGTGCGCTCAACTGTACTGCTTTCTGCTCGGCTTTGTTCATGATGGCCAAGAAAATCGATGTGTGCGGGAGACCCAACTGCTGCTCTCGATCCTCCTTGGCCACTCCCGCTGCTTGCTGCGCGTAGCCACGACCCGCCTCCAGGCCGGCTTGCACCATCTCTACAGACAATGGGCACACGCACACCTCTAGATCCGAAACCGCTCTCGCCACACGTGCTTGGTACTCCGCTGCCAGTCCCAACTTCGCCACGAGAATCATCATGTCCTTGATCGCCTTCACATTGTCCTTGTCGGCCTCCTTCAGTGCTTTGCCCAGAGGCTCCTCCCTGCGCTGACGCTGCGCTGGCGGGAGCGCGATGTCGAGAGGCATGGCCTCTGCGCCCTCGGAGAGGTAGGTGGCCGAACCTCGCGGCCAGCTCTGGAATGATCTCGAGCCCCGAACGAGCTACTGATAGATGTATATCTCGTGGCCCTGGAACATGCGACCGAACATGAATGTGATATAGCGCCAAAGACATAAAGTGTTGTTCACATAATGGACATACAAGTTCAACTTCATCTGGTACTTTTTGTGGTGTTATGGCATGATCCGTAAGACACCGATTCTGGATAAAAGCATGGCGCACATGTGATACCGCTGAGTCCCGACTGCTAAACCCAGACGAACACCATGGACACATACTACTTTGCACGAACTTTTCAACATGTACAACACCATCCGCTCTTCGAACACGCGATTGGTGGACTCGCAGGGCTCTAAGGGTCTCGAACGTCTCTCCACACTCCTGTCCATTCGGGAGAAGATCGTGACATCGGTATTCACGAGCATGTGGGGGTTCATCTTCGGGATCCTGAGGGGGCTGATGGTGGCCTGGAGGAGGCACGGCAACCGAGAGGTACTTACTCCGAAGCTCTGAGACGTCGATGTCCAAGAAGTGGGCCTTCAGATCCTGATCCATTAAGAGCCTTTGGGGGGTGCCCTGATACCTATCCACGAAATCCGCGCCCTCCTCAAGTTCCGCGAGCGAGTTCAAATCTTCAATCATCCTTTTCACGAAGAAGTTAAGCTCCACTGGGTCCTGCTCGAAGGGCATCTGGGGGGCCAGAAGGATAGTCAAGAGCTGTTCGTTTTTTTCAGGGGCCCTGAACATTGCCTGGTACCACCTCAATCTCTGAATCCTGAGCTCCAGCGAGACGGGTGCAAGACGGAGCAGCAGTAAGACTCGTGCAGAGGCGAGGCCCCTCTTCTTCTCGGTGCCGTCGGGAAGGAGGGTGGTATTCGTCGCCGCGCCCTGCAGCAACTTACGGCAAAACCATGCCTGCGTCCTGTCGAGCTTGGCCTCGTCCTCTTTGGTAAAAGGCAGCCCCAAGACACCAGACATAAGACAGGCCATGCACATCATGCGAAACAAGATAATCTTGAAGTCGCGGCATACTCTGCTGAACCAAAACTTGTGAAACATATACCAATTCTTTTTGCATGCTTGAATCCGTCGATTAAGTTCTACCCCCGTGTATCCGCGATAGTGCAGCATGGGGCCAAGGTATCGAGCCTCTCTCATCACACGTCCCGGCATCCATGGATCAGCATACGCACGTCGCTGTAGACGGCCCGATAGTTTACCCATAAAAAAAGCAGTGGCCTCTAGCTTCTTCTCGTTCTGCGCGCAACCTATCTCTAGGAGGTGTCGCGTCAGAGAATCGATGCATCGTGAGCTAGAGTCCCTCATCTGTGTGAATCCTTGAACACATAGTAGGCGTCTGACGTCGTCCACGAATCTAAATATCGAGCAATCTACGATATTGTCTCGAACTACCGATGGAACCTGCAGCTGTGGATCTGTTGTATCCGCTCGCCAGTCGTCGATCGATGCGCCATATGCCTTCTCAAAAAGTCCAGTACCGAGCGAGCTCCCTTGCGTAACTCCCTCGCCATGGTGAAAGTTGACCCTGCCATCCAGTGCGTCATACTCCGTAACACACCCCCCAATTCGATCATCAAAAAGCTTCGCGTCACTCTCGGAGGCGGTGGGGAAAATGATGCTATCCTGTTTCACGCAATTGAAAGCGTTGACCGCGTCGAAGTTGAGAGCGATGTGTGATTTTTTTGCTTTTCTAAGTCGGTCCATCATAACTGTGGTAGCCGCAATTGCTCCCTCGCATCTCCTTCCAGGAACATGATACGCGTGAGGATATAGTACGTCTGCGGGCTGGCTCCGAAGGAGGCCGCGATAGAACGAGTTACTGTAAGCTCCATATCCGTGTACCCACCGCGTGTCGTCCAAGTCCTTTGGTATTCCAAAGCACTTATCTCGATGCCATTGCTGCGGAGCTTTGTTGTTCGCTCGAACTTTCTGGTGGAACACCAATAGCCGATCATAAATACACTGCAGTTGCTCCGTGGGGGTGTCCAATCCAATACCATGCTGCACCACCGTGCCAACCGGTGGAGAAAGAAAGATACGCCATACCTCAGAAGGTAAATCCCACTCTGGGGCTGCTCGTCGATTTTTTGCCTTGCCAAGAGCTCGAATAGTACGAAGGAGATCGCGTTCGGCCTGTGGCCGTTCGTCTGGTGTGGGGGGATGACGAGCTTGTTGCGCCTGAATGAAGAGCCTGGCGTCCGTGATCCTGCGAGCACCCCATCCCTTAAGAGCTCCTGCCTTAGAAAACCGTTGTTCAGCTTCATCTTTTGTAAGTCGTAACGTGATGGGTCGTCCGCACCGTCTTCGTTTGGGTCCGAGTCTTTTTCCTGTGATCATTCGTGCAAGCTGATGCGCCTCCGCATGGCGCTTGTCATTCCATGCCTGTGTACATGCTTCCATCAGTGCCAGTTGTCGATCGATCTGCATCTGCTTTATATGTGAGGTGACCTTTCTGCTCGCTATGCCAAGAGACACTGCCACTCGCCATCCGTGTAGTAGATCTCGTAGCGAGTGCATGCTCGCTCCGATGCCAAGAATACGAAAGATATATCTTATAGGCCCCCGTCCGTCATGTGTCCACTGCTGAGCCACTTCCTGTCGAAGGTCGCGCCGTTCTCGCAGAAGTTGAATCTTTTGCTTTGATTTGTCCTGAAGTTTCGTGTCTGGCTGTGGTGTGAAGTGCTTCTGAGCGATGGGCTGCAATCCGTCTACGAGAAACTGCCATGACTGTGTAACCGATCCAGTGTCAAGGATTTGCTGCCACTCCTGCTCACTGTCCAGACACCATTGGGTGATGTCAGCATATATCAAATCTCGACTCCCTCCATGTAGCATCTCCTGCATCATAACCTCCCTATCCCACTTTGTACTCTGCTTGCTGCCGTCGTACTGTAACTGAATATCGAGATTTATCTGAACAGGTCGGTGATCAGCCTTCCGAATACTTCGTATGAGTTGAAGTCGGTCACCAGCACGTTCCAGAACGTATGCCGAGTGTATAGCTCCCGATGTCAAAAATCCATATGGTACACATATGTAGTCAATCCTGTGCTGGGTGTTCATGCCTAAGTTATAATGAGTGGGCCCGGCCCCGTGAGGAAAGTATGTGTTCACCGCGCACAAGTGAAAGTCGAGCCAGAATTGTCTCAAATAGCTGCCATTCGTATTGGTTGGTTCTCTGAAGTGCGGGCCGATCGCGAAACAGTCGTCAGGGCATGGTACGCCCTGTGGTCCTGCAAGCATGCCCACTCTGCCATTTCCGTCCATCATCACTATAGGTAATACACGTGCAGGGAGTCCAGCCAGAATCTGTGAGGTCCATGAAAGAAGCTTCTGGAACGGGGACCTGGGCTTGTGATTGCCAACATTCTCAGGGGGAAAGTATAAGGATATCCATGCCACGTCCATGCTGTCCGTACGCGTACGTATGAGGATGCCTCGCCCCTGCAAGCTAGGGTCCTTAGGCACCTTGATCTCCTTGATCGAAGTGTCACGAAACATTCGTCGATGAAGTCCGATTGCAACACCTGCGTGCTTGTTAGATCGTCGTCCATATCCAGCAGAATAGAATATATGATTTCCAATACTTCGCTGCTCAATAGTCAAATCGTGCCCTGGTAGTCTAGTGCCCTGTAGCCCGATGACTGCTTTGTGCTTGAACTCACTGAATATGTCGTCGAGCCTGCCACAGTTCAGAGTGGAGAGAGGGTTGTAGCTGATCACCTGCGCGGCATTGGCGTAGGGGCGAGAAGAAGCACTCATCATGCCCGAGCAGGAACAATCATGGGCCCCTCCGATTTCTTGTGGAGAAGCACAGAGAATGAATGGGTGTGCCGCGGCCCCTCTCAATCGGCTCGGGCCCACGGGCTAGGAGGAGGAGGAGGAGGAGGAGGAGGAGGGAGGGAGGGAGGGAGGGAGGGAGGGAGGGGAGGACGAGGAGGGATGGAAGGGGGCGAGGGCCGGGCCGCTAGGAGAGCCTGGCGGGGCGGCGCCCCCGGCTCCGCGCGGGCCGCAGGTTCTGCCAGACCCCGTGGCCGTGGAGGGAGCGAGGGGGGGGGGAGGAGCAGCAGCAGCAGCAGCAGCAGCAGCGAACGAGATGGGCACGGAAAGAATGGGTAGAATGCCTAGCAGCAGTTCCTGTCCATTTTGAACAGGACTCGCTGTCCGCGCCGCCGCGGCCTGTGTCCATTTGAGACAGAAGGCCGCCTGCCCAACAGCGGCTGCTGTTGGTTTGGGACAACATTTCTTGTTGGGCATTGTACCCATTTTTTCCGTACCCATTTCGGGCGTCCAAAACAACAGGTCTTCCACGCCAGGGGCTTGGTATCGCTCGGACGTGTGCACTTTTTCTCGGCGGGGATTATCAAGGAGCATCCTGGACCATCCTGCGAAGAAGCCGCGCGCGAAACCGAAAAAAACACAGTGAATGGACTTCCGAGCGATGGCCAGGGGAGGAGGAGGAGCAGGAGGAGGAGGAGGAGGAGGAGGAGGAGGAGGAGAGGAGGAGAGGGGAGGAGGAGGAGGAGGACAAGGAGGAGGAGGAGGAGGAGGAGGAGGAGGAGAGGAGGAAGGGAGGAGGAGGGAGGAGGGAGGAAGGAGGAGGAGGAGGAGGTGGGAGGAGGAGGAGGAGGGAGGGAGGGAGGGAGGGAGGGAGGGGACGGAGGGAGGGAGGGAGGGAGGGAGGGAGGAGGAGGAGGAGGAGGAGGAGGAGGAGGAGGAGGCCCCAGCGTTAAGTCGGGCCTGTCCCTCTGCAGGGGGAATATTCAAAAATAGCCCAAGAACAGTCTGGGGACTATGTTATGAGTATGTTTTGACTTTTTTGGGGGTATGTTTTATTTTTCGTCGGAGATCCCCCTGTGTGGGGGGACACGCCCGACATAACCCTAGCACGCCGCGGGGCCTGGACCAGACCCGGCCCGAACGGGTGCGCTCTCCCGTGCGCTCTCCTTCGCTGCCTGGCTCCCCTCTCCCCCTCCCCTTTCTTTTGAGAAGTTCGAGGGTCCTTTTCGACATCGAAGATGATTCTACACAACATTGGAGCACGCTGCGTTTGTTGGTGGAAGCCCTAGGGCTGTAGCTGCACCCCCTCAACCTTCCCCTCCCCCTCTCGCTTCCCATTCCCACTCCGCCCCCTGCTTCGCCCCCCCTTGGCCTCCCCGTTCGCGCCCTTCCCCCCCCCTCCCTTCGCCTCCCTTCCTCGTCGTCCCCTTCCCCTCCCTCTGCCTCCCCCGGGGGCCATGGAGGCGCCCCGTGTCGAGAAAAGCGGCGCGCGCAGGTCTACCAGAAGGTGGCGACGCTCGGCGCTGACCATGGCAAGCTTCGCGTGTTCAGCCAGGACTTGGTGTGCAAGTCTGAGGATGGTGGCTTCTTTCGACAGCGTCAACGACGACGGCGAGGACGACGAGGACGACGACGAGGACGACGAGGACGAGGGCGACGACGCGGAGGACGCTTGGCAGGAAACATGTCTCCGTGGACCCGGAGGGTGAAGTGCCCTCTTAGCGTCAGGATGTTCCGGTCCCGTGAGTGAAGGGAGTCCGTAAGAAATGTGGCGACTACCGAAAGCGATGGCTCCTCGGCATGATGCACGCCGCTGCGGGCCAAGTGTTCTCATTGGGGAGGTGCGTTATGCGAGTATATTGGTGTCAGCTGGAGGCAAAATCGTGACGAGTGCACGTCGCTGTTGAATTGGATGCACCATTTCGACTCGTTCTCCGATGATGTATTTCAGCGATGGGAGGAGGACGACGACGCCGACGAGGAGCAGCAACAGTGACGGAGAGGGAGGGGGAAGGAGCTGGGGTATCGCTTTGGGGGTCCATCTTCCTCGAAGACTCCAGGGGTCTGCAGGTGATTCTGGGTCAAGCTCTGGCGCCCTCGTCGTCTTCCTTCTCCTCCTCCTCCTCCTTTTTCTCCGCATCATCATCCTCATCCTCTTCCATTATTTTTTTGTAGATATATCATCCCTGTCGCACTCCCCGACGCGTTGGTACGGCGGGCCGAGCGTTTTGCTTGAGATGTCTTCACCACTTGAAATCTACAAGCTTGAAATTTGCAGCAGTTCGAAGGGTGGAGGGCGGGTGGTTTTCAATTTAAAATGTGGGTTTCGCCCTTGGGCCGCGCACATTCGTCTTAAAGGATTGCACCTGTTCAACGGATTGAGGGCGGTTCGTTTTCAGAATGTGGTTCTCGCCCCAGCGCCGCGCACATTCGTCTTAACACGGGTGCACCAGCTTCAAGGATGGAGGGCGGCTCTTCTTCAAAGTGTTGTTCTCGCTGGCGCGCCGCGCACATTAGTCTGAGATTGTTTTCATTCGTTGAATCCGTAATGTCTGTTACGGGTGGGTCGCCCTCCCCCCCCCGTAGCGGTAACGGCCGTACGGGATAGAGGAAAGAGAACTATGCACATACACCGATTCTGGCCAGACCCATCCTGAGCCCAGGATCGGTGCATACGCCCTCCTACCTTGGCCAGGAAGGCATATGCACCGATCCTGGGTCAAGGATGGGCCTTGCAAGGATCGGTGCATGTGCCACAGGCGTGGTGTGGCCTCCAGACGCCTCCAGAGGCGGCCGTCGTCACGGTCACCGCCGCCGCCGCCGCCGCCGCCTTCGCTTTCGCCGTCGTCGTCGTCGTCGTCGTCGTCGCCGTCGCCGTCGTCCTCGTCGTCCTCGTCGTCCTCGTCGTCCTCGTCGTTGTGGTTGTCAATGTCGTTGTCGTTGTCGTTGTCGTTGTTCTCATCGTTATCGTCGTCGTCCACGTCGCCTCGACCTCCTCGTTGTCCTCGTCGTCGTCCCCGTCCTCGTCCCCGTGGTTGTCGTTGTCGTTGTCGTTGTCGGTGTCGTAATCATCTTCATCGTCGTCGCTGTCGTCGTCGTCGTCGTCGTCGTCATTGTTGTCCTCCTTGTCCTCGTCATCCTCGCCGCTGTTTCCGAGGGCCTCGATGGGCTCCCAGACGCCGCCACAGGCGTACGGAGATCTCCTGAGGCCTCCGGAGATGTTTGGAGACTTTCAGAGGCGGCCGTCGTCCTCGTTGTTCTTTTCGTCGTCGTCGTCGTCGTCGTCTGCGAGGGCCTCGAAGGGCTTCCAGATTCCAGATGCCTTCAGTGGTGTCTGGAGATCTCTTGAGGCCCCCAGAGATTCCTGGAGACCTCCAGAGGTGGCCGTCGCCCTCGTCATCGTCCTCGTCCTCATTCTCGTTCTCGTTCTCGTCGTCGTCGTCGTCGTTATCGTCGTCGTTGTCGTCGTCCTCGTCCTCGTCATCGTGCTCGTCCTCGTCCTCGTCCTCCTCCTTGTCCTCCTCGTCGTCGCCGTCGTCGATTCTGGTGACCTCGATGGGCCTCCAGATTCTAGATGCCTCCAGAGGCGTGCGGAGATGTCCTGAGCCCTCTGGAGATCTCTGGAGACTTTGAGAGGCGGCCGTCGTCGTCGTTGTTGTTGTCGTCGTCGTGGTTCGTGGTTCGTGGTTCGTCGTTCGTCGTCGTCGTCCTCGTCGTCGTCGTCGTCGTCGTCGTCGTCGTCGACGTCCTCCAGCGCCCGACGCCTGCTCCCCCCCCCCCCGTTGGGCCCAACAACGTTACCCGTATCGCCCCACGGGGGCCCGGCCCCCCCTCTCCCTCCCCCGCGCAATGGATTTGACCGGGGGGGGAATTGTTGCAAGAGTCCCGGCGCCTGGCTCCCCCCCCCCTGGTGGGCCCAACAACGTTACCCGTATGCCCCCACGGGGGCCCGGCTTCCCTTCTCCTTCCCCCCGCAATGGATTTTACGGGGGGGGGAATTGCTTCAAAGGTATGCTTCAAAAGCCTGCAGCAGTTTGAAGGACGGAGGGCGGGCTGTTTTCGAAAGGTGGCTCGCTCTAGCGCCTCGCACATTCGCTTCAAATGTTAGCAACAGTTTCAGGGTTCGTATGTTTGGAGTCCCAGGGAGCGTTTTGTTTGACACGATTAAGGATTGTCAGGACGCAACACTCACGTCGATTTGCGGTATTGACGTCCCAGGACTGACTTTCTGGCACGATGTAGCAATGTCAGGGCGCAACAGTCACGTTGATTCCCTGGCGCTGAAGTCTCAGGAATGTTGTTTTGGCGCGATTGCGGATTATCAAACCGTTGTCTTCCGTTCCGCAATGAAAGTGAATTATTTCAGGGTCTTCCTCCTCCTCCTCCTCACCCTCCTCCTCCTCCTCCTCCTCCTCCTCCTCCTCCTCCTCCTCCTCCTCCCGGAGGAGGAGCGGGGCGCGGCGGGGGAGAAGAAGGAGGAGGAGGAGAGTGCAAGGAGGACGGATATTGGAGGTGGGCGGTGCCGCGCGTCGCTCCCAGGCCAGGCCATCGAGAAATGGTTCGATTCTCGGTTGCAGCGGCCAGGCTTACCTGGTCCTGGTGGTCCTCCGCTTCCACGTTGTGCTCATCCTCTTCCTTGCCCTCCTCCTCTTTTTCCTCCTTCGCCTCCTCCCCCTCTCTCGTCCCATCATCCACCCTCTTCCAGTGCCCCCGTCTCCTACGCCTCGGCCTCCACATCTTCCCCTTCTCATCCACCCCCCAGCCCTCCCTGCTCCCGCTACACCCCGTTACATCCACCCTCTTCGGCTGATCTTCCACTTCTTCCAACCCCGGCCGATCTCACTCCCCCGGCGAGTGTTCCGCGATTGTCACCTTGAACCCCACAGTTGCCGATGTAGGAGCTGGCTGATCTTAAGTCGGGCCTGTCCCTCTACAGGGGGAATATTCAAAAATAGTCCAAATACTAATTATTTTTGGAGTATGTTCGATCATTTTTTGAGTATTTTTGGGGTATTTTTAATTATTCCTCCAAAATCCCCCTGTAGGGGGACAGGCCCGACTTAAATGCAGGAGCTGGCTGCTCAGTGCACGCAAAAACCGCTCCAGTGGACGAACACCCGGAGCGCGATGGTTGCCTGGCGGTGCAAGTCCGGTGGAGAGTTCAAGGCCGCACGCGCGCCCCGCTGCGACCTGCAGCGACTTCGCCATCCCATGCAGCCGTTTCGTTTGTCCCAAACAATGCTTGCACTTAGGTGTTCTTACTTGTCAAGGGCGCCCTCGAGGGCGCGAAGTTATTCGCGCTTTGCGGTTCGGCTCCGATTCCTCCTCGCCCTCCATTTCTCCCCTGGGAGGCGGCGCGAGAGCGCGAAGTTATTCGCACTTCGCGCTTCGCGCAGCGCAAAGCGCGAAGTTTGGAGCCCTTGTTTCATTTGTCCTAAACAGTGCTTGCACTTAGGTTTAAGTGGGGCCTGTCCCTCTACGGGGGGGATACTCAAAAATAGTCCAGAAATAGTCTGGGGACTATGTTTTGAGTATTTTGGAGCATATTTTGAGTATTTTGGGGTATTTTTAATTTTGCCTCCATAATCCCCCTGTAGGGGGACATGCCCGACCTGAATTTAGGTGTTCTTACTTGTGTTCTGAGGTAATTGGGCCGCGGTGATGGTCCGGCCGGCTCGTCGCCTTCCGTCGCCGCCGTCCATCGCCGCCACCAGCATTCGTCCAAACGCACTCGTCCACTCGCACTGCATAACACAGCATAGCACGGCTTACCGCAGCATAACATAGTTTAGCATAGCATTGCTTGACTTGGCACAGCATTGCATAGCATAGAACAGAAGGGCATAGCATAGCATATAATAGCATGGTGCAACCAAAGTGGTGCGACTTAAGATTGTACCGCACCGATTGCATTGCGGATATTTCCTGCATTGATTGGCACTGCATGCGTCATACATTGCATTGCATATCTCGCACCGCGTAGGCTGCATCGCACATATCACATCGCAGAGTCTGCTAGAAGACTATATTTGGGGTCAACGCTGGCTAACGTTTCATTGTGCATAATTTATTGTTCATGATCGGGCATCTGCATTGCACGATTGCGGTCACATATTAATTTGCGCTGCCCCGCATCCGCGACTGCGCTTGGGGATGTACTCGGCTAGGGTGCGAAGCGTCGCCGCACGGATGTAGTACGTAAGTATACGTACGTAATTTCGTCAACCATATTAAGGTCGCGTTGCGATATCGATGCGTATGCGCGTATACGGGATAGCATGCAGGTTGGTTTTGCTCGATCGATTGAGACATGCGTGTATTTATATATACACATATATATATATGTATACACATATATATATATATATATATATATATCCCTGGGGGCGAGGCCGGGAGCCCCACGACAGGTGCCCCGACCCCCCATGGGGGGACCAGGGCTCATTTTCCATGTGTTTTTACAGGGTTTCCGCGTCCTGGGCCTCGGAGGCCGCCGCCTCCGACCTCCCATGGGAGGACGGGGCGGCCAGGGAGGTCCAAAATAGTCCAGGAGGGCCTCCAGAGGCCCCCAAGACGGCCCAAGCGGGCCCCGAGTCGCCGAAAGACCGCTCCAGGACGCCCAAGATAGGCCCAAGACGGCCCGAGAGGCCCCCCAAGGCACTCCACGACGCTTCAAGACGCCTCTCCAGAGCGCTTCCAGAGGCCGAAATCGTCAATTGTACGAAGGTTTTCGAACATTTTGGCCTTCCAGCCTTTTCGGCTGTCCGACGTTCCAAGACGGCTCAATAGGCCCCAAGAGCGCCCCAAGACGGCCCAAGAGGGCCCCAAGACGGCCCCAGAGTCGCCCAAGACAGCCCAACAGAGCCCCAAGACGGCCCCAAGATGCGCCCAAGAGGGGGACCACGACTCCAAAATTCGACCCTCCCGCTTGAAGAGTGCCCCAGGAGGCCCCAAGGAGCCCCCAAGAGGCCCCAGGAGGCCCCCAAGAGGCACCCAGGAGGCCCAAACGAGGCCTAAAGAGGCCACAAAACAGCCCCGAGGAGGCCCCACAACGGTCCCAAAACGGCTACCGAGAAGCTGCGAAACTGCCTTCACGACGTCCCCGACAGGCCAACCACGAGATCCAAACCAACACCCATGAGGCCTCTGACCCACCACCCAGGGCACGGTGGCGGGAGCAGTGACAGCACTTGTGCACAGCATGTTCCGGCGGGAGCCTTCCGGAACACGCTGCAGGAGGAGGAGGAGGAGGAAGATCAGGAGGAGAGAGAGTTGGAGTGGGAGGAGGAGGATGGGGACGAGGAGGAGGAAGAGGCCTCCCAGACAGCTCCAAGATAGCCGAAGAGGCTTCCAAGAGGGCCCTGCGCGGCCCACGAGGGCCCCAAGGCGGTGCCTGAGGCGCCCAAGACGGCCCGAGAGGGCCCCAAGACGGCCCCAAGAGAGGCCCAAGAAGGGAAACACGAACCGAGAATCCGAGCTTTCTACCCCGAGAGGTTCTCGGGAAGTCCCAAGAGGCCCCCAATCGGATCCAAGAGGCCCCCAAGAAGCTCCCAAGAGGGCCGACGAGGTTCCAAGAGATCTCCCAAGGTGGCCCCAAGAGGCACAACTCATTGTTTTACGATTGGGCTTTGACGGGTTTTAATTTTTTCGGCCTTTTGGCATCCCGATGCTCCAAGACGGCCCAAGAGGCTTCCAATACCGCTCCCATATAGAGGAAGAGGCCTCCAAGAAATCCCCAAGACGGCCCGCGAGGGCCCCAAGACGGTGCTTGAGGCGCCCAAGACGGCCCGAGAGGGCCCCAAGAGCCCCAAGAGAGGCCCAAGAAGGGGAACGCGACCCAACAGCAGATCGGTCCCCCCAAAGGCCCACAGGAGGCCGCAAGAGGCCCCCAAGTGGTCCGACGAGGACCGCAAAAGCTTCCCGAGAGCCTAAAAGGCCCCTAGGAGACGTCCAAGAGGCTTTAAAATAGCCCAAGAGTGCCCTCGATGCGTCAAAACTGCTTCCAGGAGGCCCCCTGGAGGCTTCCGGATTGCCTCAATCTGGCCGCAGGTGGCCTCAAGTCGGGCTTCCACGCAGCCAAGACGGCCAATGAAAGCTTCAGATTGCAGAACCGATGCCCCCAAGGGACCCTCAGACGCCCCCCCAAGAAGCACCCAAGAGGTGCCTCCATCAGCCGGTTGACGAAGCATGCGGAACACCCCAGAAGCTCCTCAGATGCCGTCGCGCGCCTGTGCTTGATATCGTTGTCCAAGATCGTCCAGCGCCCCCCTGGCCTGGGCTAGAACCTGAGCGCGCGCGAAGCGCGCGCGATGGTTCTAGCCCAGGGGCCCGAAAACAGCTGCCCGACCCTCCAGTACCGGGGCTCATTTTCGCTGTGCTTTTACGCGGTTTCGGCGTCCCGGGCCTCGAAGGCCGCCGCGATGCTCCCGGACATTTTCCAGATCCTCGGCGCGGGCTCCAAGACCATTCCGCAGAGGGCTCCAACAGGCTCCAGGGCAGCCCAAGAGGGCTCCAAGACGGCTCCAGGAACGACTGCAGGGTCTCAGTTTTTCTGTGTTTTCTGCAAGACGGCTCCAGGAAGACTGCATGTCTTATGAGGATGGCTTCCGCCTCTTGCCCCGAGCATCCCAAACTGCCTGAACGGTCTCCACTCGCCTTCCCCAAACCCAGCGCTTGCCCAAGCGCGTTCCGGACGGTCTTCGCCGGAACGCGCTGGAATGATCACGCGCTGCGGTTTCCCATGCCAACGTCCTCGGACGTGGGCGCCCTGCCACGAGCGCGTTCCGGGCAGATGCTCCCGGAACGCGCTAAAAAGATATGGCCACATCTCGGGGACGCTCCCGGCACCGCTGCCCCAGCCTTTCCGGGCAGCCTCCACAGCGCTCCAGGAGGGCCCAAGACGCCCCCCAGGAGCCCCCAGAATGCGAAAGGATGGCCCAAGACGCTCCCGAGCAGCCCAAGTCAGCCTTCCGACGGCTCTCGAGGCTTCCAGGTGGCCTCCAAGAGACCCCAAGAAGTCTGATAGGTATCACGGTACGGCCCGAAGAGGCCACAGTCGTATATGTTCAATGGTCTTTTCAATGTTTTTTGGCTTCTCGCGTTTTCGAGCTTCCAACGGTCCAAGAGCGCCGAAGAGCCGCCATGGGGGTACCGGGGCTCATTTTCCGTGTGTTTTTACAGGGTTTCCGCGTCCTGGGCCTCTGAGGCCGCCGCCTCCGACCCCCCATGGGAGGACGGGGCGGCCGGGGAGGTCCAAAATAGTCCAGGAGGGCCTCCAGAGGCTCCCAAGATGGCCCAAGCGGGCCCCGAGTCGCCGAAAGACCGCTCCAGGACGCCCAAGATAGGCCCAAGACGGCCCGAGAGGCACCCCAAGGCACTCCACGACGCTTCAAGACGCCTCTCCAGAGCGCTTCCAGAGGCCGAAATCGTCAATTGTACGAAGGTTTTCGAACGATTTTGGCCTGCCAGCCTTTTCGGCTGTCCGACGTTCCAAGACGGCTCAATAGGCCCCCAAGGGCGCCCCAAGACGGCCCAAGAGGGCCCCAAGACGGCCCCAGAGTCGCCCAAGACAGCCCAACAGAGCCCCAAGACGGCCCCAAGATGCGCCCAAGAAGGGGACCACGACTCCAAAATTCGACCCTCCCGCTTGAAGAGTGCCCCAGGAGGCCCCAAGGAGCCCCCAAGAGGCCCCAGGAGGCCCCCAAGAGGCACCCAGGAGGCCCAAACGAGGCCTAAAGAGGCTACAAAACAGCCCCGAGGAGGCCCCACAACGGTCCCAAAACGGCTACCGAGAAGCTGCGAAACTGCCTTCACGACGTCCCCGACAGGCCAACCACGAGATCCAAACCAACACCCATGAGGCCTCTGACCCACCACCCAGGGCACGGTGGCGGGAGCAGTGACAGCACTTGTGCACAGCATGTTCCGGCGGGAGCCTTCCGGAACACGCTGCAGGAGGAGGAGGAGGAGGAAGATCAGGAGGAGAGAGAGTTGGAGTGGGAGGAGGAGGAGGAGGAGGAGGGGGACGAGGAGGAGGAAGAGGCCTCCCAGACAGCTCCAAGATAGCCGAAGAGGCTTCCAAGAGGGCCCTGCGCGGCCCACGAGGGCCCCAAGGCGGTGCCTGAGGCGCCCAAGACGGCCCGAGAGGGCCCCAAGACGGCCCAAAG